TTGAACCGTGACCTCCTGGTTCATAGGTCCACACTCAACCACTGAGCCACAGGGGCAGGAGGCGTGTTGATTTCTAGAAGGCTGATCACCCTCAGCCTTGGCTGGCTCTTCTCACTCATACACCAGCCAGTGCCTATACTGCCACCTTCTGGTGGTCCTTGGCATAGCACCTCTTGCTTTTGATTTCTTCCAGCCTGAACCCTGGTGAGGGACTGAGAGCTTGGACCAGCTCAGCATTGCCAGCTGTCCTCCCTCACCAGGCTGGGAGGAATTCCCTCTCCTTCCCCAGCCCTCAGCCCATGCCAAGGACAGCCAGAGTCAAATTCCCAGGGGAGATGGCATCTGGTTCGTCGAGTTACCGAAGTATCCATTCTTTATCCTTCCATTCAGGACCACTGGGTACAGCTGTATAGGTTGTGTACTGTGCAATTCCTAGTCTATGTGATTGGCACCCTATAGAGTTGTACAGGGCATCTAATATTCTCTCACATCAACCATGGGCCAGCCTGTGCTAGGAGCTAGAGATACAACTACGAGCAAAACTGGTTCTTGCTTTCAAGTTTCTTACATAAGCAAGTAAGCATATGCATAAATAAAATAGTGATTTATGCTGGGAAGGAAACTAACAGAGGCCCAGGAGTTACAACAGGGAATACTGAGTTCACCAGAGAGGTCAGGAAGCCTCTGAAGAGGTGACCATTCCTCTTCCATGGGACACTTTAGGAGAAAAGCATTCCAAAAAGAGGGAACGGCAGATCCAAAGGCCCGAGGTAGGAAAGAGGTTGGGTCTTTGAGCACCAGGAGGCCCCCTGTGGTTGGACATAGTGAATGAGGGACAGAGGCTGGGTGATAAGGTGGGAGAGGCAAGTGGAGGCCAGATCATGCATAGAAGCCCTCATAGGTGAGGAGGGGGTTTGGAGTTTTTCGACGGTGAAGGAAGAAGCAGGTGGGGCCTATGGAGGTGACACCTGATCCGACTGATGCTTAAAGAAACCTCATGTCGTGGAATCTAAGATGCTATTTGTTTTAAGACATCTTTCAGAGGACAAAACACTGCAGATTATGACACCCCACTGATTGTTAGATCCTGAGCTCAGTAATATTCAAATCTATGAACATGTGCTTCTTGGCACGAATGAAATATGGGCCTCCTGGGTTCTAAGACCTGCCCCAGACACAGACTGCAAAGCCCCTTGCCTGGTGCCTGTCCTGGCAGCAGCCAAGTCATGACGTCAGGGGATGCTGGAGTTTAGCCTGAATCCACTTCGCTGCAGTGTAGACCTGCTGCTTTTACATGCAGCCCTGCAGTATAGCCCCGGGGCTGTCATGGCAAAGTCATGTCCTTGAGATTAGAACCACGGCAGTAGCTGGCTTGTTAAAAGGATGCTTAGTAATGAGTGTACAGCTTAAGTCAGCCTCAGTGACATCCGTCGTGCTATTTTCAACACTGCAGATGGTGACCGTGACTACACCACAGAAACCTGAGCCAGCCCAGTGACGGGGCTTGTCTCGCCCCTTTACCCTCAGTGCCGGTCATACCTTCTACAGTAACTCATTTCACCCTCACAACCCATCCTGGGAGGTGAAATAACCGCAGCTAACATTTAGTTCATTCCACATGCTGGGCCTGTTCTATGTTTTACCAGCATTAACTCATTTACTCCTCCTCACAGTGACTCCATCATGCCCATTGTATGGAGGAGCAAACTGAGCCACAGAGGAGTTAAGTAATTTGCCCAAGGTCACATAGGCAGCAGATGGCAGAACTGGGATTTGAACTGAAGTCTCAGCACGGAAGCTACCGCTTCTCAGTCCTGCTGCTTCCCTGGACTCACTGTATGACCATGGAGAAGTGGCCTCATCTCTCTGGGCCTCAGTTTGCCCCCTGTAAAGTGGGGCAGTAATCCCAGCGGGGTGCGGATCCCCCTGGGCCCTGACCCCCTGCACCCAGCCCGTGCCTGTCTTCTGTCTCCGGCAGCTTGTACAATAACTGCATCTGTGACGTGGGAGCCAAGAGCCTGGCACACGTGCTTCCGGACATGGAGTCCCTGCGGGTGCTGGAGTGAGTATGGGAACCTGAGCAGTGGGTGGTAGCACGAGGGCCTGCGGAGACGGGGGTTCCCTCTGGCATCACCGGCAGGAATGGGTTGTGGTCTGGTTGTCGAGCATGTGGTGGTGGCCTTGGGCTGGGGCTGGATGGTCCCGAGGGCCAGGCCCCAGGATGGGTTTTTCTCCCCACAGTGTCCAGTACAACAAGTTCACAGCCGCCGGGGCCCAGCAGCTGGCGGCCAGCCTGAGAAAGTGCCCTGATGTGGAGACACTGGCGTAAGTCTCAGTGGCCCAGCTGGGTGGTTCCGTGAGTCCTGAGCTCAAATCCTGCTCTGCCTGTCACCAACGTGTGGCCTTGGGCAAGCAGGACACGTCAGCCCTCTGGCCTCAGCTTCTTCATCTGTAAAAGGGCAGTGGTAATAATATTTGCCCCCAAGCAGTTTTGCGAGGTTTAAATTAGACAAGACTTAAAAAGCAGTTAGAACAGTACTTGGTAAATGAAAATGCTTAATATGTTGGGTTGAATAATACGAAATTGCCTGTATAAACCATGTTGACCTATAAAAACGGCAATTTCATATGGCTCAAACTTTTTATTATTAGCACCATGATGTCTAATGTCCAATCCTGGTACTTTATACACTTTCAAAGCACGTTCATGTACATAAACACATCTTCTAAGAGGGATAAGGTGGATCATACAGACCCATTTTACAGCTGAGAAGAATAAGGCACAGAGTTTAGCCAATGTTTTTGAGGTCATACAGCCAGTCAGCATCAGAACCTAAGATCTAAAGAAGGCTAACGGTCATTTGACATTGGAAATGTTACTTAAACTCTCTGTGTCATGGATTTTCACCTGTAAAATATGAAAAGAGTATTTCTCAATTGATAACCTAGCTGTGAAATAGCAACAAATTAATACATGAAAAATAGTTTGAAGAGCCTGACCTGTACAAAAAACATAAGCTAACACACATTTTTTTTTGTTTACATTTGGAAGATTGCTGAGAACCTCACGCCATTGGAAGTTCCGTGTGCCTGCTATCTAAAAGGCGCATGTGTAAATCTTTTTGCATTTAGTAGATGCTGTGGGCTTGATTTCTTGTTCCTTTCACCACTGAACATCCTGTGAATGGCAGTGTCTCCCACTCACTTAGCTTATTGTCAAGTCCATCATTCTGACTCTGAATCGTGGGTCCTTGCTGGGCTCTGCTAACAGCTTCCATCAGTTTAATGTCATATAGTTTAGACCAGTGATGGCGAGCCTATGACACGCGTGTCAGAGGTGACACGCGAACTCATTTTTTTTGGTTGATTTTTCTTTGTTAAATGGCATTTAAATATATAAAATAAATATCAAAAATATAAGTCTTTGTTTTACTATGGTTGCAAATATCAAAAAATTTCTATATGTGACACGGCACCAGAGTTAAGTTAGGGTTTTTCAAAATGCTGACACACCGAGCTCAAAAGGTTCGCCATCACTGACCTAGGGCCTCCCTGTCTCTGTGCTGGGCTCGGTGGAGGTGTCCTAAAGGCTTTGTAGCTTGAGCCCTGAGGACCCTCCCTGTGGTCAGGCTTAGAGACTGGGGCCGTCCACATCCCACAGCGTTAGCATTGGGAAGACGTTCCTTCGGGGACTCCCAAACCCTGTGTGCTGCTGTGTCAGCCTGTTGGTGGCCCCATGTCTCCGATCGTCCTGATCGGAACTTGCTCTGTGTGCTCCCTGCCTCTCACTGGCAGATGACTGTCCTCCCACCTCCCTGCTCCTCCAACCTGTGCGGTCCCCCTCCAAACCCTCTGTCTCATCCTCCCTTCCCACCATCCCTTCTGTCCCCAGTCTCAACAACACTCTCTCCACGTGTCCTAAAGCTTCCTGACCTACTCCTTCTCCAGACCCCCCACCGACCCTTCTCTGAGGACACGGACCACGCTGGACCTTGAACTGGTTATCTGTGGACACGGCTCTTCTCAGGTCATATCCTACGAGCCTCAGGGTCCCGGCACCCAGCCCTGCCGGCTACGGAAAGGACCCATGGCCTGCTACCCGGACAGACCCAGGCCCGGCTCCAGGCTCCTTCGGGGCCCAGGTTGATGCCAGCCCTACGCAGCTGCTGCAGCCCTGGCAGACAGGTGGGTGCCTGGTGGCAGCTGCCGTCCACCCAGGAGCCCTGGCGCATTTTCTATGGGACACTCCAGAAGTCGCGGCCAGGCCAGAGAGAGGAACTGAGGCAACACGTCTCCGCCTCGCAGGGCCCTGCCAGGCTGGGGAGAAAGCACTTGTCCAGGCTGCTGTCCTAACAGGGCACGCTCGGCGCTTTGAGGGTCCCAGAGGGGAACCGGATCCAAGCTGCAACTGACTCTGAGGCAGCTGCTCTCTGTCTGTGGGACTCACTGTTTGCACAGAACTTGTTGGCGGAGGCCCAAGCCAGGCCAGGCCAGGCCAGACGCACTGGACCTTAGCTGGAAGCAACTGATGGTACACTAATGGAGGGGCGGGCGGGGGGCGACTGGAGCCATGCCTGCCTTTTGCCTTCGTTTGTGCCTCTTCACTACATTATAAATGACTCATTCAACCCCACAGGCAGGTCCAGTGTTTGAGTTGATAGCATGATTACCCTGTTGGTGTGCCCACTGATCTAGTGCATCACAAACCACCCCGAAATGTAGTGGCTTCAAACAACACACACTCTTATTCTGCTCGCACACCTGTTGTTGGGCAGGGCTCGTCTCTGCCCCACTCGGTGTCAGCTGGGCTCATCGGAAGACTCGCTCCCTGGATGCTGGCTGGTGGCTGGGGACCTTGGTTCCTCTAAGGAAGGGTCGGTGGGGGGCCTCTCCATGGGGGCTAGTTTGGGTCTCCTCAGCGTGGTGGCTGGGTTGTAGGGGTGTCACCCAAAAAGGAAGAGGGTGGGGGAGAGAGGGAAAGAGAGGAGAGAGAACAGAGAGAAGTTGTATCCTTTTTATAACCCAGCCTTAGCAGTCACACCGCACCTCTTCTGTCAAATTCTTTGTGCAGTCCGACGGGCCGTCACTCTCTCC